AAATAAAAGAGTTTCTTTGTCAAGGACATTAATCTTCTTAGTGTATGAAGTTGTTATTATTGCCATCATTAAGACTTTCTTAGGAATCAATATTTACCGGTATGCAATGTTCTTTTCTAGGAGTTTCAAAGTTCTGAAAACATCGTTGTTGTTTGACTTTTTGGAGATGATGGCACAAGCAATGGGATACTCGTTAGATCAAATAAGACCATGGCCAGTTTCACAGAGGACGAACACAACATACAGGCCTGCTATGCTGGATATGGATACAGACATCCATAAGACGGTATGTTATATATTTCAGAATAAAAAATACAACAGATTTCTGCCAAGAAATAAAGACATCCCAATTAGTATCGGTAGAGAAGTTGTTTGAGGGGAAACTTATAAATAATCATTTATTTTTTAGAAAATGAATAAAATGAAATCTGCATGTATTATTGTATGAAAAAAATAGCGATGATTTTTAAACTGGATGCTTCTCGTTCTGATCATTATTCAGACAATGATGACAAATAAACATAACTTGTTTCCGTTTACATGTAAATAGAGAACTATTTTACCTGTGTATTCGCACATTTATCGCGAACATGCCAGGGTCAATCACATGAACAGAGCTTTGTATCAGGATCATACATACTGGGTTACAGTTTCAAGTCATTTTAACATCTTTTTTTCTGAGATGGCTTGCATGATTGTGTTCAAATTAGTACAATGATTCTACCTACTTTATTTTAGTTGCACCTAACATTATTAGTGATGCAAATATGCTCAGCCAATTACATTACATTGCCAGCAATGACTGATAGCAACACAGCATTATGTAGCCAAATGTATATGCACATTTTTAGATCACTGATGGAATTTGGTATTAAATAAACAACAGGGACTTAACATTGTCAATACTTGTTTCAACAAATTCAGTTGCAGGGTTGTATCCTTCACATGCCTTGACTGATCTTGTTCAAAACAAATTTCAATACACAAAAACCACACAATTAAAGTGACCCTAGTAACTTTGTCTGTCACATAATTTGCACAGATAGTAGACAATAGAGACATGGATGTCTTGTAGTAGCCGTCATATCATCAGCATAACTGTAATACCACTACTTGTGTCCCCCAGTAATCTGCCATCATACTAACCACACCAATTGACACATTTAGACATTTGCTTTTTTTTGCAATTGCATGAAAGTAGTCTACTCTTTTTTTTTTGGTATGTCTGGTGTTTAGCTCATACAAGATTATATTAAAAAAATAAAACAGAGACTGTGTCATTTTTAATAACTTGAATAATTAAATACATCCCATACAGACTCAATATCCCCCAAATTGAATATTATGATCAACCCATGTTGGTTGTGGCATGTACGAATAATATTTGTAGCATTAGCGATGTAATCTTTTCTGATTATTCCACAGATGTATGATTTAGCAGAGGGCGATAGTCCATACACAGTGTTTTTAGAGACGGTTGATGCAGAGTCGGGTGCTGATGCTTTACCAGCTTTTGATAAAGACAGTAAGTTTGTTTCAAAGAAAACAACTTCATTTTTACTGACAAAATATATGATTTGCAAGCAAAATCAAAACCATTTAGAAAGTTTTATGATTATGGTAAGACTTGCCTCACTCTATGTTTTCTGTTTTAATGGATGTCTGAAAAAATGTTATCTACTGCCAATCACTGCTAGCTGTATGTTCGTTTTTCAGCCGATGTGTTATTATTCTTGAAGCTCTATGATGCAAAGACCAAAAGTGTCTCATACTGTGGTCATATTTATCTACCCATCAATACTAAAGTTTGTGAGTATATTTCACATAATTTTTTAAAGCAGTCATCACCAACCTACTATGATGTCTTAATTGTGAATTAATGGAATGTCAATTATCAAGAATATCTAAATAAAAGTCCAATTTTAAAATTTAATAAAAACTTATCCCAATGTAAACATCTGAAAAATAAATCAAAGCTCCAAGTCAGGATGTATTTCCCCCATTAAACCTAAACAACTTTATGTAACATTTCATAAATTGTTTATGGGTCCACTGTATTTGCTTATGATGGCAGTAAGTTACTTGACATGAATTGAATCTTCTCAATATGTTTTTACCTTCTCTGGGAAATATCAGAAATTAATATAAGGTTATTACGAGGATACCTCAAAGTATGCTCGAAGACAGTACAGCGGGAGTATTTGCCGATGTGCAGTGCAGTGGAGGTTGATGCGACTGCATACTGTCTGAGTGCATACTTTGACGTATCCTCGTAATAACTGTATTATTATACATCTTTTCCTTCAAAGGATATATCATGGGAATGCCGAAATCCAAAAAGTTTAGAATAGAATCAGCGAACTTCTTTGTGTGGAGTCTAGTCAAACCCTGGTGGCAGCCATGTTTGTTTTTATTATTAAAGGACGCTTACACGCATTTATAATCATTCCATATTTGAAAATACCCCATAAAATACTGCAAAATTATGGCACGTTGTAACTTATGGTGTTACGGTGACAGACGTATACCGGCTAATAATAAAAATTATTGTTATGTTATGGCTTCTTTTTGTTCACACATAATGTTATCTTTATATCTGTAGATGAGCTTTTGCCTGTTTTGTGTGAGAGGGGTGGATTCCCTATTGGCACTGATCTACTCCTTTTTGAGGTGAGTCTAAATTATTGCTGTGTCCTGCCAAACTCTTTTCTTACACTACCTTACTGTGTAGGGATCTCTTGTGAAAGCTAATTTGCTGAGCACCAAGCACTTAAATACATGCTTTTCACGATAGTTCAATCTGAGAAACCCTTACACGTGTCCAGTATGTTTTACCAAACCTTCGTCTTGTGCACTTTCCTGATTTTGAAAGGAACTCTACTCTGTGTATACTACTGGTTTTGTTCTTCATGGTATGTTATTTAACAAATCTTGGTATATATTTTCATGAGGAATACTTTTGTTTCTCTTGCAACAGGAAGTGAAGCCCAACCTAACAGAGAAGATACAAGATTATGATTTACCATTGGATAAAGCACTGGATGAGTTAATGGATGGAGATATTATTGTTTTCCAAAGGTACAAATTATTAAAACCTTTCATAGCTGTACTGTCAATAGGAAAAATAGGGGGGTGGTGGTAAAACAAATATAATTACGTCAGTGAATTCACATTTATTACAATAATTTGTAACCCTCCACTTTACTTTAAGTATTACTCCACTTGTAGTGTTATCTATTAAACCTAGTGAAATGTTATATTTCAAAGTTTATTTAAGATGAATCAAGAACATTATTAGACAATCTTGACTGCATTTGACTGCAAAAGGCAGATGATAAAGATGTTTAGATCTCCCTAGAATGGAAACAAAAGTTGACACTCATGACGAAAACATTTTTAACTTCTGTCTGCTCTGAATCAAAAGTAACTTTAAAATTGGAAATAATTACAAATTATATTTTGATTGGAAAAAACAGCATGCCAGTGATAAGGTTCAACCATCACTCACTAAGATTGGCAAACTATGTGTGTTTGCTAAGATAAAAATGACATGTCTGTGTCACAACAGTAAAATATTGTCTGTTATACTGCTAAATTATGTAACATCATAAAGTCTGCATTTAATAAAATAATAAAGTCTGATTTGTTACTAGAGACTGTTTGTTAAATTGTAATTTTTCTTCCATTTTCAGAGATGATGTGGAGAATGAACAAAGTGAATTACCGACAGCAAAGGATTATTTTCGTGATCTTTATCACAGAGTTGAAGTGACGTTTTGTGATAAGAATTTACCCAATGATAATGGTTTCACTCTGACGCTGTCGCAGAGGATGAATTATTTTATGGTGAGATTTAAAGAGTTATTTATTGATGCCATTTTATTTAATCTATGCTAATTTGATCTAATCTGAGCAGATGTCATATAGGCCTTGGCTTCTTTTTGCTACATTATTGTTTCAGCTTCGTGTAAACTAAAACCAGCTGTACTACAATGCGGCATTGTCATCACTCTGCATCGCTTTGCACCAGCTTCACATCAGCTTAAATCAGCTGTGCCTTATTTCTCCAAATACGAGTAAATTATTTAATGATCTGCTTAATTGATTAATTGTGTATCATAAACTACAACAAATCTAGTACAGTATTTATATTGCCAAACATCTTAGCATTTTTATCTATCTATAAACTGATTGTTTACGGTTTATTTCCAACCATGCAAAACTGCATGTAGTGCTCACGTACACATTGATTCATATTTATATTTTTTTTTTAATTTGGGGCGATTAAAAAGTGAGTTTCAAACTAAAATTTCAGCATGTCCTGTTTGCAGCTGTTATAATTATATGCACGCAATATGACCCCTTGACCTTGATATGGCCGAAATGTAATATTGTATTTTTATACCGTCTGAATTTACGTTGTAAAAATGTGTGGGGTCTGTTGGATAGTCTCAATGGACACAATTATTCAGTAAAGTGAAATGGTGTCCAATGACCAGGTTTCACAAACCAAACTACTGTACTAATCATGATTTTTATGTAATTGTACACTTTTTGCACTCATATTTTAATAAATGTCATCGACGCCCGGTAAAAACACCCTGGGCCTATAATAGTGGATGGCCTCAACTTGTTAAAGAGGTAGAGGCAAGGTAATTAAAAAGATCTAACATCACAAACCTATCTGTTAATCATGTATGTGAGTTATGACAGTTATGTGTAGTTATCAAGTGAATTATCCTTAGCTTCAAGTTGAGTTTTAATTTTGACGGTCCCAGTGATTTGTGATGTCCTGGCGGTCACCACAGTGTCTTTGAATTTAGTCTAGTACATGTATTCACCAAGAGACACAACAAAATGAAATTTAAGGGAAGCGTGTACGCTTGACATGTTGTGGCAACGATTACCGTGAAATTGATGCATGGTCGATGCAATTGATGCAATCTCTAACTTTAAATCTTATTAAATGTTGGGGCAGCCAATTTGCAAACTCGCTAGCGAATTGGCTAACTGCTTGGGTTTTGACTAAACAGTTGGCTTTTGAATCTCGCTGGCGCCGACTCGTGGTCGCGTCCACTCTGGGCGAGCCTATATTGCATTAGGGGACATGGACTGCTTTTACATACGTAGCCAGGTACATGTTTGGATTCCCCTGAATGATGTGCTTTGCGAGGCGTAATAATGTATAAGTAGTTTTCCTG